TGGGTTACTGGGACAAGAACTTCAAATGTGAGAGACCAAGATAAAAGTCTCCCCTGAATCCTTTAAGACGGAATTGTATGTCTTTATGTTGTAAAACTACTAACACATAGGCCATAATTAAGGGAGGCAGGCTGTACTAAGAGAGTCTCAAGGGTCAGAACTAAACAGTGGAACAAGTGGGTTGACGTGGTTGACAGCAGTGTTCTGTGTCCTTCGTGTTTGCCCCCTAAAATCAGTGTGCCCAAATCCTGGGCTTCAAGGTGATGATGTCAGGAGGGGGGCCTTTGGGGGGTGATTATGTCATGGAGATGGAGGCTCAGGAGCAGACTAGTGTCCATCCCTGTGAGGTCACACGCAAAAGACAGTCGTCGGTGTATGGGCCAGAAAGCAGCCTTCCACAGACAGGCCACCCTCAAGAACAGGAGGGAACAAAGGCCAGGGTTCCACGTGGGGGCTGTGCTGAGCAAACGACCTCATCTGGTGCTGCTTATGTTGGGCAACATGTGGGAGGGGCTCTTCCATGCTTTCTGCTACAATGCTGCTCCCATATTTGCACCTAAAGGACACAATTGCTTGGTCCAGAATCCTCACTTCTCATCGCCTCATCTCAGCATGGGTACCTTTCAAAGAAATTTCACCAAAGAATAATGAAACTGAAATTTGAAGACTTTGTTGTGAGCACCGAGGAGATTCTGCTCTGGATTTGTAAAGGAAGAATGCTTGGGGGAAGTCCTTCTGAGCCGATTGCCTGACAGGCCAGTCACAACGGGCAATCACTGTCGTAGCCAGGAAATGCATGGAGTTTTGTTCCTCCTGTATACGCTGTGTGCTTACTAAGGCTCCCTCTGCACTCACATTTGCTAGTTTTACTTTTTTCCCATTCATCCACTCACTCATTTATTCACTCACCCATTTACTAGAGATTGAACATAGGGCGTCATGGATGCTAGGCAAGTGATCTACCTCTGAGTGTAACATGAATTACTAAATGGTCTTATTAATAAAAAAAACTCAGAGCCAGATATTGGGGTGAACGCTGAAAGATCAGAGGAACAGGACAAGTCACAACCACCACCTATTACCTCACCAACTCCACGAATCCTCTGACTGAAATCTTCAGTCTCCAGAGAGAGCTACTTCCTGTATACTCACGCCCTATATACCTTTCTGTGCCCTGCCATCTTACTTCCTCTTTCCGCCCAGCTCTATCACTTCCTGTCTGTCTGAACAGACCTCCAGAGCTCTATGGTTAACTAGTGCTGGGATTGATTAAAGGCGTGTGGCACCATGCCTGGCTCTGTTCCCAGTGTGACCTTGAACGCACAGAGATCTGGATGAATCTCTGCCTTCCGAATTCAAGGATTAAAGGCGTGTGCTACCACTGCCTGACCTCTATATTTAATATAGTGGCTGGCTTTTCCCTCTGATCCCCAGGCAAGCTTTATTTGTTAGAGCACAAATAAAATATCACCACATCTGAGCTGTACTCTTAGCCCTTTTATTCACTTTAAATAACAAAGTTTAAGACGGGTCTTTGCGGGCTGGAGAGATGACTTAGAGGTTAAGAGCACTGGCTGTTCTTCCAGAGGTCCAGAGTTCAATTCCCAGCAACCACATGGTGACTCACAACCATCAATAATGAGATCTGGTGTCCTCTTCTGGCCTGCAGGCATACACGCAGGCAGAACATTGTATGCATAATAAATAAATAAATCAAAAAAAAAAAAAAAAAGACAGGTCTTTGCTAACTTTCCTAGACTGGATCTGAACTCACTCTGTAGCCCAGGTAGGCATTAAATTCGAGATCCTTCTGCCCCAGTCTCCCTAGGACTCAGGTTAAAAACATAAGCTCCCATGGCCAGTCCAATTCCTGTGTTAACAAATTCATGTTTTTCTGTGGAAGAAATACTTATTTTTAGGTACTATTTACATAGGAAAGTCCAATGCCAGTTTGGGTTTAGACATGCAACCTTCCTTCCTTCCTCCCTCCCTCCTTCCCTTCCTTCCTTCCTTGGTGGTAGTTAGTAGGGTCTAATGTAGTTCATGCTTATTTCAACTCCCTATGTAGTCAAGAATGGCTTTGACCTCCTGATTGTTCTGTCTCTACCTCTCAAGAATTGGGATTACCCCTCTGGATAAGTGAGACAGTTGTTTAGCTTGAACTGTTTAGGGGGCCCCCAGGCAGTGGGATCGGGACCTGTCCCTAGTGCATGAGCTGGTTTTTTGGAGCCTAGGGCCTATGCTGGGAAACCTTGTGCAGCCTTGGTGCAGGGAGGAGGGGCTTGGACCTGCCTCAACTGAATGTACCAGGCTCTGCTGACTCCCCAGAAGAGACCTTGCCTTGGAGGAGGTGGGAATGGGGGTGGTTAGGGAGAAGGATGGGGGGTGGGAGGAGGGAGGACAGGGGAATCTGTGGTTGATATGTAAAATGAATAGAAAATCTCTTAATGAAATAAAAAGGAAGAAAAAAGGGGGTGGGGAATGGGGATTACAAGTACGTGCCACCACACCTGGGCTGGACATGCAGACTATCCAAATTAGTTATACAGATATCCTTTTTACATAACAAAAAAGGAAACTTGAAGGATTCTCAGGGACTCTCCAGGCAGAAGGAGGTGAGGGAAGAGTAGGAAGCGCAGAACACGGCGACCAGCGAGAACATGGCAGCCAGCGAGGCTGGGATCTGCCCAGACAGAACTGGTCAGGGGAGACCCACTGGTCTGAAGTCTGATGACGTTAAGGAGCAAGCTATGTAAAATAACCAAGAACTTGCGTGTATTCCCCTAAGGAAGTATGTTTTATTTCTGTGAACAGATGTAAGTATTGAGGGGCCTGTAGTTGGTCTGTGTTGGCACAGAGTGTGAATGAACAAATCTGCCGTTGTGATGATTGTATTTAAACCAGTCACGTAGTAACTTAAAACACCCCCTGAATCCTTCAAATCTGTGCCTTGTCTCTTGTGCCTAACTTGTGGGAATATGAGATGTCCAGATCTGTGCCTGGCTGGTGGACTACAAACAGCAACAGGATCCCAGGAGATCTGCAGAGGCAGCCGCTGGAAGTCAGAGCAGTCAGGGTGACCCACGACCTTGGAGGTTTGAAGTCTGATGTGATGGCTTAATCCTAGCACTCAGGCGGCTGAGGCAGGAGATTGCACAAGATCAACACCAGCCTGGGCTACAGTGAGTTCTAGGCCAGACTGGGTTAAAATGTGATACCCTGTCTTAAAACAAAAAGCAAAAACCATACAACAACAACAACAGCAAAGCATTTAAGGATTTGAACCAGTGAGAAGGGAGAAGGGCTAGGGGAGGGAAATGCGGGGGTTAACATGATTAAGGTAGAATGATGTGTAGATACATACACAGATGATAGATAGATAATAAAGCAACTATCATAATGAACCCATTATTTTGTATGCTAAAATGTTAATAAATAACAAAAAATAAAAAATATGCATTTTTAACAAAGACCAGTGATTTAATAAAAAATAATGAAGATGACTGGTAGAATTCTGATGAGTTTGGAATGCCATGGAGGAGTCTTGTCTCAATCAACAGCAAAGGATAAATAACCAAACATTCTTATTGATCAGCATTGTACATCTGGGCTTGTGATACTTCAAGAAGAAAAGCTTGTCTCTTTCCCTTGGTGGCCTGTTTCCTGATTCTTCCTCTCCTTTATTCTAGGAAAATCCTCTGTGTATCCTGTGAGCAATGTCTGCCTCAACCTTGCGGTTCCATCCTGTACAGCGTCCGTGTGCGCCTTTGCAGAGCTGGAGCTGAGGATTGCTGCACCTGCCAAGGGTCACTGTGAAGCTCCCTCCTTCCTCCTCCAGCTGGTACTCCCTCCTCCTGCCTCCTCTCCACTCAGCTGGCTGTGTTTATATACTATCGCAAATATAAGTTGGAGATGGTCGTTTAGCTGTAATAAAGATCCCTGGGTCTTGCAAATAGCCCTATTGTCTCACCTCAAACACAATGGAAGGAAACAGGGATGTGGACTTCATTGACGTAGTTAGCCAGGGGTGATCCTTCAATCCTGATGAAGGGTCTCTGCCTTCTGGTGGAAAAGCAGGTTTTCCTTTAGCTCTTGTCCCCTGGAGTGCCTGAAGGATTATGTTCTCAGTGAATGAGACAGCTTGGAAGAACAGTTAAGAAGCACGGTATGTTCTCTGAAGTACAGACAGAGGCACTGTCAGTTTGGTTCAGTGATGCATTCCTTTTTTTTTTTTTTTTTTTTTTTCGAGACAGGGTTTCTCTGTGTAGCTTTGTGCCTTTCCTGAATCTCGCTCTGTAGACCAGGCTGGCCTCGAACTCACAGAGATCTGCCTGCCTCTGCCTCCCGAGTGCTGGGATTAAAGGCGTGCGCCACCACCGCCCGGCAGTGATGCATTCTTAGAGGGTGTCTGCAAAGGCAGGAAAAGCATCAGAATGGTGGGGTGTGTCTTGCTTGAGACAATGAGGAGCTTTTTGAAGTTCCAGAAGGCAGCTTGACATTCTTAATAAATGCAATGCGAGGGGTCGGACTTGAACCTTGAACTTGGCTGTTTGCTAAGCATACATACGAAAGGCGGCAGGTTGCCTAAATTTGCCAGTGCTCACTCTCTGCTTTAAAAAGTGAATCTAATGAATCTAATGTCTATTCTAGCACATTCGACAGCTTAATACTAAAGCCACAACTGGTGCTGGGGTTTGGACATGGGCAGGTGTGCCTAGTGGTTAATGGGATTTACTCAAAGAGAAGCCACTTACGTGAGGCTGAGGTGCCACCTGGGAGGCAATTCACTGTTTCCCAGGGAAACAGGCAAACACTGAACTATAGCACTCCTTTGCCAAATTATGCAAATGTGTCTCTGGTCCAGCTCTGTAGATGAATACCACGGTCCAGGGGGAGACAGAGCCTGGAATTAAACAACAACAAAACAAAAACCTGAAGGAATGACCTGACAGAGTACTTGGTGGTACTAAATCTAGTTATCTTTGCATCTAACAGGCTCCATCACACTCAGAACGTGATGATCCCTGCTTGCTCAAAGATGCCTACCCTGCTTCGTCACTTTGAGGGTCCATGGTGTCAGGAACCGGAAAAGCTGTGGCAGCATACACAGGGACTACAGTATGGCACCAGTTGGCCTCTGCTTGTGGCGGAGGCTTCCTCTGGAGAGAGCCTGTTGCTCAGCAAGCCACAGCAGAACACAGCATAAGTAGGCTTACTGGAGAAGCTTCAAGACATGCCTAGTAGCTTCTAGAAATACCAGAGCTGCCAATGGAGGTGAGCTACTAATAACACAGCAAAGAACAGAGCTCAGGCGAGGAAGTTTGTGTTCATTCAGTTAAAACACAGTATTATGAAGTACTTGGTGCCTAGCAGGTGTTCAGCCAATCATCCCCTCCTCCTTGGAGACAGGGCCCCATGTATGTCAGGCTGGCCAAGGGTGACCTTGAACAAGGGTGACCTTGAACTTCTGTTCCTGGAGCTTCCATCGCAGACTGCTGGAATTATAGGCTTGTCACTCCCACCACATCTGGCTTGTGTGGTGCTGGGGATGGAACCCAGGGCTCGATGCATGACGGGGAAGCAGTCTACGCATTGAACTTCACCCCCAGCTCCACTGCTGTTGGTATTCTTTAAGCCCCCTTTAAACAGCAGAACTGATTTCCCCTTCCTGTGTGCACAGCAGCTGTATCTCCCGTAGTTTTCATTTAAAGTGTGTTCAGCTGAAACCAATTTAACTGAAAGTGATGAGAAAACGCCGGCTCTGGCATAGCAGAGTGAGAGTGGGAAGAAATGTCGGTCTTCTTCAGGAAAAGATGGTGGGGGCTGGAGAGAGATGACTCCGCGGATGTGAGCACATGCTGCTCTCGCCAAGGGTCTGCGTTTGGATCTCAGCACCCATGTCAAGCAGCTCACAGCCGCCTATCCATCCAGCTCCAGGGGATTTGACATCTCTGGCCTCCACAGGTACCTGCCCACTTGGGCATGTACCCGTATATATTTAAGAATTAAATATATCTTTAAAAGAAGAAGAAACAGGGACAGGACAAGATGTGAGTTAAAAGACTATCCCAGAGCTGGTAAGAGAGCTCAGTCCGTAAAGGTACTTAACACTAAGACCAGTATGGTAGAAGGAGAAAACAGGCCCTTTCAAGTTGTCCTCTGACACACACACACACACACACACACACACACACACACACACACACACACACACTGTGATTTTGCATATTCATGTTCTCTTTCTCGTTCTGAAGAAATAAAATGTAACTGAAAATTTTAATTTTAGTCATCAAGAAAGCTGCAGAGGCAGATTGAAACATTGGTATAAAAATGGTAGGTGTTGGGGGGCTAGAGAGATGGCTCAGCAGTTAAGAGCACTTGACCACTCTTCCAGAGGTCCTGAGTTTAATTCCCAGTAACCATATGATGGCTCACAACCATCTGTAATGGAATCAGATTCCTTCTTCTGGTGTGCATGAAGACAGAGCACTCAGATATATAAAGCACATGAATAAATAAATCTTTTAAAAAATGGTAGGTGTGGTGGCCATAATGCTGGTTTGATTGTTTTTCCAAGTTGTTGGATTTTATCATCATTCTTGTATTTTATAGGAAACAGGATGTAATAAACAGGTCAGCGCCTCATGAGAAACAAACCCGGGTTAGTACACTTTGCTCTCTCTACACACAGCAGCACTGATGTCCCCAAATCAGGTGCAGGGGCTGCCAAGGGCCTGAAAACAGCTGGGGTCCATCTGAGTCTGGGGAAGCTGGGGATGCAGGGTGAGTGGCAAGGAGGTTCATGGGCGGCGGGACGCATAGTCTGGTTTTCACTCTGAAGAAATGAAGGAACATGGGTCATAATGAGACAACACAGCTTCCAAACCGAGGGAAACAGCAAGTTATGAAAGGCAAAGAGAACATAAATGAGTTCAAATCCATTTTCAAACACCACATGGTCAACAAGCTTGCAGGAAATAGGAGATCGTGGGAGGTGAAGGGAAGTGAGAAAACAAGCTGTTATAAGCAATAGATTTAAACAGATTTTAATATATTTAGCTGGCAGCTGGTTTAAGACAATAGTGGAACCCTAAAAAAATCACTAAGGCACATTTATCTCATAAAATAGTAAAACTCACAGCCCCAGGTGTAGACTTAACCTCACAGGGAGTCAGGACAGGCAGAAGTGTGGGAGGGCACTGGTACAGACTGGCACGCCACCTCGACGTTCAAAGATGCTGAGAGACTGAGTACCTGTCAACCTCAGGCAGATCCCCTCCTCTCACTCACGGAGTATGCTTCCGTCTTTTCTCACGTTGGCTCCTTTGTGCTTGTGTAAGAATAAGTCTTTTTTTTCCTGTGACTTGCGCCTCTGTCTTATTCTCACAATAGCACATGAGCCCACAGGGTCCGTATCTATCAAGTAGGTGTTTGCTGCCAGTTTTTCTCTTGGGCTCCTGCTGTGCACCTGCCACTCCACAGAAAAATCATGGTTTTGTTGTGTTTTTGAAGTCTGTATGTGCTCTGGAGAAAGGGATGTTAAGGAACACCAAATCACTTTGCACCTCAGTGAGTTTGACTTTTAAAAGGAGGAAGCAACAGTAGTGAGTCAGACGTGGGTTTTAAATGTCCCTTGTCCCAGATGCACAGTTCCTGGGGATGGTGTGTCCACACCAAGAGAAAAAAGCAATTCCAGTCAGAACATACAAAGAGAAGTGGGGGACCAGCTCCGTGGCAGAGCACGGCCTACCTCGTGTGATGGCCAGAGGTTTAATCCTCTGTACCAAGGTGGGGTATGTCAGGATGAGGAAGAGCCTGGTGAAGATAACGCTGAGGGAATGGGGTGTGCGGGTGGGGTAGGCGTCGGGGGGATTCGATCTGTGAGCACACGTGGAAGCTCAGGAACGTTTGATGGAGGAAAATCATGAAACTAATAAGGCCTGATCCGAGGACAGGGTTTGACTTCTCGGACCTGGTCTCCTTGGCTTAGCATTTGCTTACTACATGTCTATCTTTGAGGCAAACAAGGAGTCGGTACTGAAAACAGAAAGTGCTAGCTTTAAAGATAAGAGCTTGGCCATGGCTAAAGGGCTGTCGAGGTGGAAGTGAGTGTGAGAGTTCAAGAATGCAAAAAGGAACGGCTTTCATTCACTGAGCATTGGCTGAACTAAGAGGCTGGAAAGCCCCCAAAGTGCCTCCAACTTGAGCGTTGGAGAAGCATGTTGCTGCGTCGTAAGGATCAACCTCGGTGTTTACTGAGAACTTATTACTCACACCATGCTTCTCCACATATCATTTGTCTAATTTTCCCAGCTACATTTCAGAGGCTTTATTATCCGCTCTGTGTTTTATGGAAAAGTGATGGAGCCAATGTTTTAATTAGTTCTGGCAAATTTCAGGATCTTTTCCTTAGATCTTTCTACTGAGAGGCTCCTGAGACTGCAGGTCTGGGATTGGCTAGGAAGACATGACATTAACTCAGTTTAAATAACAAAGAATATATAGGAGGAAATGAAGAAAATCCGACACATTAAATATAAAGGATAACAGGAATATACGATACCAAGACAGGGCAGTGAAAATGGTGTAAATGTGTGCTAAGTAAAGATATGAGTATATACTTCATACTGGTATCTTTAGCTTATATAAAAAATAATAAAAACAATTTTAGAAATCAAAAATAAGAGCTATAGGTTTGCACCTTAGCCATTTCCACTTTTTTCTTAGAATATTCCCTCTTTATATGCTGATCTTAAGTTTACATCTTGAACCTCATGGTCCCTTCCTGAACTCTATGTTTAAGAATCCAAACCCACATGGCACCTCACAACAGTCTATAATTCCAGCCAGCTCCAGAGGATCAGATGTTCTCTTCTAGCTTCCATGGACACTGCATGCACAGGGTGCACACACACACACACACACACACACACACACACACACACACACATATATGCAAATATATATATGCAAAAGTTAGTGTCCACCAGACTTCAAAAACTTAGTTCAAAAGACCATAAAATATCACACCTCAATAATTTTGTTGATTATACAATAATTGGTTGTACTAATATTTTTGACATACATAGTGGTCACATAAAATATTTCATTAACATTGACTACACCTTTTTGGTTTTAAATTTTTTTTTTAACTTTTTCAACATAGTACTAAAAATTTGAAATTTTGCATGTCGCTCACATCATGGTGTTTTATTTTTGCCAAGTAGCATTGTTCTGGGTTAATTTAGGCCTGTGGTCACACAAACTTTTAACTATTCTAAAACTAATTAGTTAATTTAACTTAATAATCACTTACTTTGAAAACACATGTTCTTCTGGGACAATAGAAGCTAATTGTATTGAGAATTAAAGCTGATTTGAGTTTAAATCAAGGCTTCTCTGCTAGCTTGATGTCCTGTGTCGATCTTTTTGTTTTGTTTTGTTTTACTTTTTTGAGGCGGGGTTTCTCTGTGTAGCTTTGCGCCTTTCCTGGAACTCGCTTTGTAGACCAGGCTGGCCTCGAACTCACAGAGATCTGCCTGGCTCTGCGCCACCGCCACTCGGCTCCTGTGTCGATCTTATTAACCCCTTCAGTCCATACGAGGCGAACAAGGTTATTTTGGGGAAGCTGTTGTGAGGATCACAGTAAGCAGACAATGTTCTCAGCTCAACACTGGGTACTCTGCTGTCGATGAAGTGGTGGCTACAAGTCGTGGGAGGAATCGGATTAGGAAGCGACCAAGTGAACAGAGCTGGATGGCTTGTCACTTGCTCAGAACAGGTGGGATGTCATTTTATCAACACTGAATTCTAGGGGCATCGCATTACGTGAAAGTCAGTTAAAACCTGACAGCAGCAGAAGGACTGAAGATGCAAGAACCCCCAGTGCCGACGTTCTGGGGAGCAAAGAAAAAAAACAAAATCTGTGGGGAAAATAATGAATTCATTTTTAAATACATGAGGCATATTGTGTGACTCAGTTGCTCATGATTTCTACAAAGCAGACGTTTGGGGAGGGAGAGGTACAGCAGGGGTTTGCTCATTTTCCTTATGCACTTGTAAAATAACTGGATTCATAAGACTAGACTTGGAGTGTTTTGCTGTCCTGCGCCTCGTGCATGTGAAACAGGTGCCTTACCAAACAGATCAGGAAGTCCATATGTTTAGAAATGAACTCAAGCTAGACTACAGAAGGACTTATGGCAGTTAGATAAAAGCCAGCATTCCTTAGGAACTTGTGAAATGGGTTTTCCACCCCCAAAAGGAGCCGTTTCCGTTGCCTCTGGAAGAAGGGGCACATGGCTCTTCATATGGCTGCATATCAAAGTCCATGTCGGCCTCCAGATTCCCTCAGTGTCCGGTCTCTACCCGCCAGATCCCCCCCTCACCTGTAAGCATTATCTCTTGCTATCTTCACTCTTCTCTGCTTTCTTAGCCCTGCCCTGTCCAATCTACTTTTTCTCTCTGCTCTGGACTCTTCCTCTGGATATTCTCTCTCCCTTATTCACAATAAAACCCTTCCAACTAATAATGGGTTTCGTTGTTGTTTTGATACAGGGTCTCGCTACATAGCTCTGGCTGTCCTGAAACACACTCTACAGACCAGGCTGGCCTTGGACTCAGAGCTCCACCTGCCTCTGCCTCCTGAGTGCTGGGATTAAAGGTGTGCGCCACCACCACCACCGGGCTGCTTGTTCTAAATAAAATGTTTTGTTAAAAGCAGTTAAGATTCAAGTAAAAAAATCCACTAGCTTTGTAATAGGATTCCTGGTAAAAGGGTGTTTATGAGTTCATATTACAGGAAAGCATCACTTTAACACCTGGTACTGAACTGAAATGCCCAGTCCGTCATATGGATTCATTCTGTGTGTGTGTGTGTGTGTGTGTGTGTGTGTGTGTGTGTGTGTGTGTGTGTGTATGAGAATGTGAGTACAGGTGCTCTTGGAGATGAGAGATGTCGGATCCCCCTGGAGTTGGAGTCACATGTGGAGTAAGGAGTCTGATGTGGGTGTTGAGAACCAAACTCTGGCCTTCAGAAGAGCAGCCAGTGTTCTTAACCACTGAGCCATCTCTTGAGCTCATGACTCATTCTTAAAATGACCAGACATAGTAAAATTGAAGACTGCCACCAAATTTCCACACTACCACAGCACATCACCACCTTTTCCCTCACATGAAGTATGTCTGAAGGTTGCTTCTCAGATAGAGTGCCTCATGAATATGTAGGCTCTTTAATATTCAACTTCTTTCTTTTCTTTTTTTTAAATGTTTTTTTTTTTTTGAGATAGAGTTTCTCTGTGTAACATGGCTTTACAAGAAAATGAAAATCACCAAATTTAACTCAAAAAAATTAGTGCACTGGACAAAAGGGAAAATGAGACAGAAAAATAAGCAACTCAGTTTTTCACTTGCTTACAGGAAATGAGTTCGTTAGACTAACGTCCTCTGAAATTAACACCACCGTTACATGCTCAGAAGGCTGGAAGTGAAAAGTCCGCGACGGAGACAGGGGAGCCTGACCGGTAAAACCAGGGGCACATAAAATGAAGCTGTGTAAAGTCGCACACGGCCGAGTTCAAATCCAAGCCTCAAGTTTTTAATCCTTCGTTGTCCCGTCCACAGCTATAAAGTGGTCTTTAACAATACTTAAGATAAATCTGCTGAAAGATGGCACAAAGCGCCTGCCACTGAAAGCTTTTCATACGAGATAACGATTCCTAATGAAATGCCAGGTTCCTGCTGAGGGAAGCCCAAGAATGTCTCCTATTCCCTAAGCCAGTGAGAAGACCGGTGAACTCCAAATGTCAAAAAACTAGGACATTGAAAAAAAGTTAGTTTTTTAGTTATGTGTATGGAGAGAGTGGGTATGCAGACCTGAGTCCAGGTGCCCAAGGAAGCCAAAGGCATCTTGATGCTCTGGCGCTGGAGCTACAGGTGACTGTGAGCTAACCTACTTGGATACTGAGAAATCAACTCAGGACTTCTGTTAAGAGTAGCTCGGGTTCTTTAATCCCTCCTCTCTGGAGACTTAAAGACATTCTTAAAATAAGACTTACAGCCAGGTCTGTGAAATCCGAACTCGGGAAGCTGACCAGCCTGACCTAAAGTACGACCCCGAGCCCTCCCTTGTCAAAGGCACATCGTTAAGGCAGGGAAATGGCTACAGCGAACAAAGCCGAGTTTACGCTGCAGGATCACTTTAATGGGGTCCCAAGCCTCCGCCCCAGTCCTCATTCTCGCTGCCATTAAGGAACGTGGATCTTCAGACTTTTCCCTCTGGTGAGCGACCGCCACTTCCGAGGTCTAGAGGTCGCAGAGCGGGACGCAGCCACCGAGCCCTGGGGCTCCGTTCAAGCGTCGCCAGCTTTCGGCCTGGCACCCAGAAACAAGCAAAGAAAAATCATTCACGCAGACCAACAGCACTCAGCAAGCTTACTGATTACGTTCCCCAGCCGGGGGGCGGAGCCACGAGGCCCACCGGTCCAATGAGAACGTGCTTCCACGTAGCTTGATTTGCATGTACAACAATGCTAGCCGCACTGGTAATCCCTAAGCGACCTAGCCTCCTTAAGGTAACCTGCCTCCTATCCCGATTAAGTCTCCACAGCTCCTTTTTGATGCTTTGGGGGCCCTGAAAAGGGCCTTTGGGTTAGGGGTGGTGATGCCAGAGAAAAAAGGAAGGCCTAGAGCCGGTGGACGCGCTCAGCCGCCGAAGCCATAAAGAGTGCGGCCCTGGCGTTTGAGCGCGTAGACCACGTCCATGGCCGTGACCGTCTTGCGCTTGGCGTGCTCGGTGTAGGTGACGGCGTCGCGGATCACATTCTCCAGGAACACTTTGAGGACACCGCGAGTCTCCTCGTAGATGAGCCCCGAGATGCGCTTGACGCCGCCGCGCCGAGCCAAGCGCCGGATGGCGGGCTTCGTGATGCCCTGGATGTTGTCTCGCAGGACCTTGCGGTGTCGCTTAGCGCCGCCCTTTCCGAGCCCTTTGCCGCCTTTGCCACGTCCAGACATCGTCTCCACCCAGTGAACAAGGAAACAAGAGAAAACGCTCTTACAGAGCCCGCCAGCAAGAGCTTATATTCTCTGGCTGCGGACCTGTTTGAAAACAGCAAGGAGTGGGCGGAGCTATAGGCTCCACCCCCTGGTTCTTTACTCCCGGCTGCGGTAGCTCCAATACCGGAAGATTTTTTTATTCCCCCCTCAAATCTGAAAAACCCTAGCATATTTGAAAATTTAAACAATATGAGCTAACAATTTCTTTTTCTCTTCCTTAGCGCAAATAAAAAGGTCGCAACATGCTATCTTCAGTATGCTCTGATTCGCTATCTAAGCTGAATGCTTATTCTTTACTGCAAAATAATGTGAAAATGATTAGAAATCTAGCTTACTAGATTATGATGGTAAAGCAATATTCATTTTCACGTCTGAGTCTTTTGAGTGGATGGAGAAGAGAACGGTCACTTTCTCTTGTGACCACGCTAAGAAAATTATTTTACTCCTCTCTCCACTTCCTGTTTGTTTTCAACTGTTTTTCTGCAGTGTGTGGAGTTTTCTGCTTCTCCTGCCCGCCGAACACATCAGTATTTTCTTTTCAACCAACCGTCTGCTTTTATAGTTATTTAGCTGAGCTATTGTAACGTGCCACTGAGATAAGCTTGCATCGCAGAGCTTGCATTTAAAACTTAAAAGTTCTCGTCAGGTGTAGTGACTCACACCTGTAATCACAGCTCTCTGGAGGTTGAGGCAGGAGGATTGCCACCAGCTGGAGGCCAGCCTGGGCTAGACAGACTCAACTACATTTCACCCCCTCCCCATTCAAAGGTGTTGTAAAGTTACATTTGTCGGAAGCCTGACTTTGAATAGATTTTACTGGAAATTCCCAAGCCAGAAAGGGCTCTTTTGGTGTTTTGTTCCTTTTTTTTTTTTTTTTGGTTTTTTGAGACAGGGTTTCTCTGTGTAGCTTTGCGCCTTTCCTGGGACTCACTTGGTAGTCCAGGCTGGCCTCGAACTCACAGAGATCCGCCTGGCTCTGCCTCCCGAGTGCTGGGATTAAAGGCGTGCGCCACCACCTTTTTAAACGGTCCTGGAACTCAGTTTGTAGACCAGGCTGGCCTGAAACTCGGAGTCAGAGATACACCTGTCTCTGCCTCTTGAGTGCTGAGATTAAAGGCATGTGCTACCCTGCCCAGAGGTGTTTTTTTTTGTTTGTTTGTTTTTGTTTTTTTGAGAAGACAGCCAGATTTAAGGGAGCGTTCACAACACTTTCCCAGGTGCTTAATGAGCTTGTTGAGGACCGAGCATTTTAGTAAATTGTTGTTGGTCTGTAGTTTTAAAGATAAGCTTCCCAGCAGGAAAATGGTTTCCTAAATTTTTATATTTCAAAATGCTTTTAATCTACAGTACTTTTCAATCTTCAATCCCCATAACTCAAACAGTATGTTAAAGATTAACTGAGCCCTAGGATATTTGGAAGGAAAAAGGCCTGAGTCATTAAGTCTTTTTGTTTTTTTTTTTTTTTTTTTTCCGAAATGAGGTTTCTCTGTGTGGCCCCAGCTGTCCTGGAATTCACAGTGTAGACCAGGCTGGCCTTGAACTCACAGAGATTTGCCTGCCTCTGCCTCCCAAGTGCTGAGATTAAAGGCTTGTGCCACCACCGCCCAGCGAGTCATTAAATCTTATCTCATGATTTTAAGTCCTTGGCTTTCTAGAATTCTTACAAAAATAAGGCAAAGCTGCCTCTAGAATACTTTTTCAAAGTCTGTAAAAGCCTGTATCCAAAAAAAAAAAAAAAAAAATGGAAAAGAAAAGGACTTTTCTATGATATAAGCACAAATTTAAGCTGGTTTACAGAAGTCATTCGAGTATTTTCTTGCTGAAACTGCACCAGAGGCTTCCAGAGGCATTGACTCAGTATGCAATAGAACCTGTTGAATGCCTCCAGACATTAAATAATGTATTAAGGTCAGGTGTTAGGTGGTAAAGCCAGGATTTTGAGGAAGTTGTCAGGTTCCACGATGATCGATCACCTTTATGGTGGCAATATATCGCTCAGATCCAAAGAGACCCCAGCTACTGTTTATTCATCATTGTGCCAGACAATAAAGACATACATAAATACATGTAAACGGGTTTTGTCATGCGAGAGTGTGTGTGTGTGTGTGTGTGTGTGTGTGTGTGTGTGTGTGTGTGTGTTCTGTGTTTGGGACAGGATCCTATGCAGGTCAGGCTGGGTGGGAACTCTGTGGCTAATGATGACCTTGAACATCCTCCTTTCTACACCTTAAGATCACAGGCAGGCCCCACCACACTTCGCTCTGGGAACTTTATTCAATGAAATCAAATCGTAATTAGAATAGGGAGAGGTTAAATTTGTGATCTTTTTTTTTTTTTTTTTTTTTTTTTTTTTGGTTTTTCGAGACAGGGTTTCTCTGTGTAGCTTTGCGCCTTTTCCTGGAACTCACTTGGTAGCCCAGGCTGGCCTCGAACTCACAGAGATCCGCCTGGCTCTGCCTCCCGAGTGCTGGTGATCTTTTAATTAAATGGATACTAAAAAATCTACATGGCATTTTTAACCAAGGTTTGACTTTACATCAGTTGTATAACATTCAGAAAATGTGGTAAACTAAAGTATCTCAGTGAATCAGTGGAAAGTAATCGCTAATTAAATAAAAAAAAATCGTATTTTATTTCAAATGCCACAGGCCTATAATTTGAATATATAAGAACAAGTCGAAGCATTCTTCCTCCAGCATCTCAGTCTAGTTTAGAGTATTCTAAAGCCTTGGTGGAGCAATGAGCAACAACCTCCAACTCCATCTCCAAGAGCTGGGATTATAGACCTGCACCAATGTGCCTGGCTTTCCTTAATTCCCCTTTTTACCTTCCCTCTCTTCCTTCCTTCCTTCCTTCCTATCAGGCTGGTCTGAATCTCAAAACAGATAAGGCCGACCTCAAGATTTTGGTAATCCTCTGGCCTCGGCTACCCTAGTGCTGGGATTACAGACACCTGCCAGTTCCAACAAGACCAAGAAAGTCTGCGAACTATGTAAATTAGGACTAGGAATTTGCGTTTTTGATTGGGATAAGTCTTGGAAGGCGGGCCCTCTGCTCGGGCGAGCTGATTGGGAGCGGCGCCTGCCTGTCACAGGCGGCCGCGGCTGCAGCGTGTGGCGAGGTAGTTCCGGAGTGGCGCACGGCATCCCGGAACTGAGCGGGCTGGTGTTGGAGCTCCCGGCGCCGGGTCGAGCATGTCGGGGCGAGGCAAGCAGGGCGGCAAGGTGCGCGCCAAGGCCAAGTCGCGCTCGTCGCGCGCGGGCCTGCAGTTCCCCGTGGGCCGCGTGCACCGGCTGCTGCGCAAGGGCAACTACGCGGAGCGCGTGGGCGCGGGCGCGCCGGTGTACCTGGCGGCGGTGCTGGAGTACCTGACGGCCGAGATCCTGGAGCTGGCGGGCAACGCGGCGCGCGACAACAAGAAGACGCGCATCATCCCGCGCCACCTGCAGCTGGCCATCCGCAACGACGAGGAGCTCAACAAGCTGCTGGGCCGCGTGACCATCGCGCAGGGCGGCGTCCTGCCCAACATCCAGGCCGTGCTGCTGCCCAAGAAGACGGAGAGCCAGAAGGTGAAGAGCAAGTGAACCCGACGGGTGCAGAGCCCGCCGCAGCCCGCAGCCAATAAAGTCGGTCAAAAGCGAGTAATCCGGAGAGCTGTGTAGTCGCGGGACCGACGGGGTGCTGGGTGGGGACGCGGGCCACCCTTGAGGCCATGTGGGAGCCAGAGGGGACCCAGGGGGTGGGTTGGGAGCCTCCCCCCACCCCTTGCACCACTGTAGGCAGGAGAAACGGGGAGGGTATTCTGGAATTAACTTTGCCTAACTGCCAGGCCTTCGCAGGAAGGAGTGGTAGGAAAGGTGTTTCCAGCTATGGGCAAGAAGTTGCCTCGCTGGCCATACTTAGAAAGGTTGAGCTACTTGGAAAAGACAACTTAGGGACCTTGATGGGTGCTAGTAATTTAGTTAGGATCGATAGTCTTTTTAAGCTAATAGATACTACGTATTCATGATCTGAATACCAGCCACCTTCGCCTCACACCCTTGTGCTCACGTTTCTTTAAAATGAAGTAATTTGTGCAATACGGAAGTGAGTCATGAAGATTGCTCCCTGGTCGGCATTGCATAACAGCGGGGCCCTCAGCCTCTAGTGTATGTTTAGCAGTTTTTAAAGTTTTCTCCTTCTGCTCATGGTGGCGTCCACTTGCCACGGGGACTAAAACGTGTTCGTGGCTGGTGAGTTCGGAGGCCATTCCTGAGCTACGTTAGGAATATGTCTCAAAATTTATATACACACACATTTCCCCCTCAAGCTTCATAACAGCATTGCCTTTGGAAATTGGCTTGATTTTATTTAGAATTAAACCCTACTTTTAGGGATAACTCTTAATAACTTCCCAGGAGTCCCGTTTTTTCCATTAGCTGTGGAGTTGTGTAATGCCCGGGTAAGGAAAGGAAAGGTCATGTGAGGTAAGAGCAAGGAGAAACTCGTAGGTCCCTGGAAACGCTGTTCTTCCCTTCTTGGCCATTCCATTTCATTCTCAGGAACTGTCATTCTGCCCACAGGATCCACAGAAACCACCCCAGGGTAGGTTTCACTCTGGGTTCATTTTTTCCTGGGAATCAGTTGTCGACTTTCCCTTCATTTGTAGTGGCTGGCTGGCCCTTCCCCCTCATCCCCAGTGGTGATTGGCTGTCTACACCACGCGCTATTACCCAGTGCGGGGAGTACAGCAGTGAATGAGGCCAGCTAGGTTGCCACTGTCCTGAAACCCACATTTTTTTTTTTTTCATAGTTCCTGAAGACAGGAAATAGGACAAATAAATAATATATTACAAACCAATGTCTGTCCGTTCTCTGCTGTTGGTTGAGTGGATAGTGGAATTACTCTTTGTGGTAATCTTGAAAGATGTACAAAGATCACATCACACACACCTCTCATAAAGAGGTAGATTGCTCCCTCTGACACCCGAGGAGAACAGACTCCAGTGGCATTAGGGCAATTTCAGGAGGTAAACTTTTCATACTTGTTTGGAGGACTAAGATGTATTAGCATTAGATGCTTACATTGAAA